AGGATTTTTAAAAGTGAAAGTTGTTGTGTTTGTATTCATCCTCTCCTTCTACAAACTGTTACCTATAAACTCTTGTAGATCCGACTGAGACCAACAACTGGTATCAGAGCAGTGTTTATTTTAGTGTTTATTGGTGTTTTATTATCTTTTCTTTCTAGATAATTTATTTACCATTCATATAGCTTTGCAAAACACGAGCATAAACTTTCACGATAATAGCTCTCTTGGCAAACCTCCCCCGTTCATCAGAGACAACTTTAGTCTCTGGAAGAACATGATGTCTTTTTTTTTCTTAGAGGGTGTGGATCCTAATATCCCATGGTACATTGAAAATGGACCCTATGTTCCATTTGCAATCTCTTCAGCAGTTCCTGCTAGGCTGCTACTGCTATGACTACCTCGATTCCTGAACAGCAGATTCTGAAACTTCCTTATCAATGAAGTGACGAAGACAAAAAGAAAATGGCTTTAGATACTCAAGAAAGATCTATAATAGCCATGTCTCTTTCTGACGAGGTTTATCATTCCGTGATGAAGTTAAAAACCTTAAAAACCATGTGGGACACTCTTTATTTCAATATGAAGGTACTTCTGGATTACAAGAATCGAGGAAGATAAACTTAGTAAGACAATATGAAAGTTTTCTCTGTGGAAAATCTAAATCATTGTCTGAAATTGTCTTCTTTTTTATTTAAGGACAGCTGGAAGAGAATATTCCAACTCAGAGATCCTAAAAGGTTCCTAGAATGTTTGCCAGAATCATGGGATAATTATACCATGTGTCTCAAGATGTCTAAGCACATGTCCTCCTTTTTCCTCAGTTCTCTTTATGTGATATTGCTTAATCATGAGCAACCCTGTCAGCTGAAGTGCACTAGGGAGTGCCCTCAAAAAATGATCTGACTCACGACCTCTCTGTTGTCCAAGATGAGGTGCGTGAAGTCAAAGAAACATTGAATGTCATTAAGACGAAAGTCCAGCAAAATTCTGAAGTTGTCGCTACACTCTCGAGCAAAGCTGACAATGTTCAAGATCAGCTTACCAGGCATGGTGATCTCTTTAAACGAATTTTCCAACTTCTTCAGCAACCAGAACCTCGTCCCTGAACCCGCCTTCAGAGAAGCTGATCGTCAACAGCTGGACAGGGTCGCTGAATTCAACCTTCATCAAGCCGACACAATTGTCTCCATCGAGAAAAAGTTGCATGACCTTGTATCTTGTCTCCCTCTCTCAGCTGTTAATGTTAATGATGACAAAGATGGGGATAATAAAATGGAGAAGGATACAGAGGTGGAGAATAATGATATAAAGAATACGACAACTGGTCGGTTCTATATTTCACACCTCTAGACTTAATGAAATTGGGCCGAAAATCAAGTATACAATACGGCCCAATGTTGTCTTTCCAAGTAATAAGTGGTACAAGTACCGAGTTATCGTCCACAGGGACTGTAGCCAAAGTTAGATTAAAGTCTAATGAAAGAGATGATTTCAGATGGCGATTTTGAAGACTTTTCTCTGATTTTAATATGATCCAAAACAAATTACATAATATATAAAAGAAGCAAGGGTGTGAGACCTAAGGTGAGACCCAAACACAAATTCCAGCAGCCAATGCTATAGCAATGCTATAGCAAGCAGTGTTCCGAAACTAAGTTCCACCATCTATTTTCAAGGCATTCCTCTCGGACTTCACCATTTCACTATCTTATAGCTTTCCACCCATATCTCTATGTGGTGTCCGGACCGGGGATAGTGACACAATGGTGTTTTCAAAATATATGGATAAACAAATCTCTTTGTTAAAAATCACTCTCTCGAGCCGATTCCCATATCATTCGAGTTGGCGTGTTCTTGATATTTCAACTCTGAATATATCACACTTTGATATATAAATGACAAGTCTCCTTGTCGGCAACTTTCTCAAGTCTACCTCTTATGTCATCCAAGTTGACGTGCTTATTGATGGCTTATCTCTAAATCCGTCGCACTTTAACACTTTCAAGTGATCAACCCGTCAAGAAGTGTGCTTGGTTTTATAAAAATTCGAATGAAACAATAGAACGTCGTTTTCGAAAACACTTAGCTACTTTCGTTTGGTTTGAAAATCTCACATTTTTGTCTCACACCCAATCTATAAAAGCTTAGCTACTCATAACGGAAAGTAAAAATTAAATGACGGAAAGTAAAGACATAAATGTAAATTGCGTAAAGTAAATAACGAGAAAATAAATTGCGAGAAAGTAAATGACAAGAAAATAAATTGCGGAAAGTAATTGACGGAATGTAAATGACAATAATCGTAAAGGAACTTAAAATAAAGAGCGAAAAATGAAAGACGAGAAATTAAAGAAGAAAACTCAAAAAAACTCAAGAACTTGGAAATTTTTCTCAAAAGCTGTCAAAATCAGCTCTCACTAGCTGATTTTGATCCTTAAGATATGATATATGAGATGTTTAAACAAGTGCCCAAGCACTCCTATTTATACAAAGAGTCTAGCCAAAAAGTAAAAWCCCAATAGTTAATGACCAAGGTTTAATAACAAAAAGGATCCTATGCATAAGATTATCCCTTGGTCCAAAAATTTCCAGATTACTAAGATCTTCTAGYTGTCATCTGGTTGTCTTCCAATCAGCATCCAAAAATCAGCAGCTTAATCTTTAAGCCCTTGCCCATCCGTGTATGCAGCATGTGGTTGCTACTGTAATGCTGCAGTATCGGTCTGTTTTACAAAAATTTCTCCGTTAGCTTATATTTTTATGCCCCAACAAGTTAAACCACACTATTTTAGCTCCATAACAAAAGTAAAAAAAATAAATTAAAATGACTCAAAGTGGGAACGAAAAGAAATTATTCTTAACTAAACAGACGTCAAACGGATGCATTATGTGTTAAATTCTCAACACATATCACACCCCCAAACTTAAACCGTTGCTTGTCCCCAAGCAACGAAAAGACAAATATAAGGACTCAATTTACACAAAAATCTGCATGATCAAGGCATTAAGTGCCAACCCAACAAGAGTTATACTTACATGAGGTTCATAGCCTTTCATAATTCCTAGATGAGCTTATTCAAATACAAACCATTCTATGTGAACCATAGGCTAGCATTCCCTTTTCTTTGTTAATTCAAACACAATCACAACATAGGATCATTAGGGCTTAAAAAGGTTAACTTTCTTTGGCGTTTCTTTTCTCCCATTGCCTTTTTCCAGTTATACTCCACATATGAATTTTTTCAAATTTTTGGCCACTTTGGCTTCTTTTGCTTGGAGTGTGCACATAGCCCCTTTGGGACTTTTTAGTGTGCTAATTTGAAACACATAGCCCCTATGGGACTTTTATTGTGTTCATCTAAACCTTTTTGGTGATAAGGAGTCAAATTAGAGCTTTGCTCTTTGGTATTGACTTTATATCCTTATATAAACTCCTCCCCCAAACTTAAATATTACAATGTCCTCATTGGAGTTTTGTGGGGTAGAAAGTGTTTGGCAGGGTGCAAAAAGGCAGAATATGAGCATAGAAAAGAAGGCCTAAATCATTTTCTATTGTGAGTTGTGCGATCAAAATATTTTCCAAAAAGCGGTTTGCTAGTTCTAGTTGTGAACAAAGTGATTTGGGTGAATGTCAATTAATCCGCAAAATTATTCAAGCTATGAACTCATGTGCATATGACTCATTGTAAGTGATTATGCATGAAAATAAAGCTAAAAACTAGTAAAAACTATTCCCAACTCAAATAAATAAAATATGGAGACTAAAGTATGTGATAGAACCTGCCCTACTCCGACGGAGTAGGCTGTGTGCTACGGAAAGCCGCGTTGAGCTCTGCCTTCAGCCTTGCATTCTCCTCCTTGTAGCGTGTCAACTTCTTTTGCAGCTTCATGATGGTACTCCCAGCTCGCTTCTCCAGTTCCTCAATCATACCATTAGTTCTCTTTTCCAGCTCCTCTTTTAGCTCATTGAGTCTTTTCTTGGCCTTTCGTTCATTTTTCTTCAACTTTGCCATAAACTCAGCTTGCATTTCTTCTATCTTCTCGACCATCTCAGTCCGATGGTCCATCAAACTGTCCATCACACTGCTGCCCTGTGCAAACAAATCTTCCAGAACCCGTGCAATCCACGTGTGTTCCTTACCTCAGTCACCTCTCTCTCTTAGCCGTGATACCACTTTCATATCGATCGACCACTTTTCCTCACTCTTCTTGATCACTAAATCATCTGTATAACGAGGCACCCCCTTTTGCAACAACAGTCTGTTTATTAGGCTCGGGAAAAATAATTTCCCTTGATTCCTCCTCGCACAATAGAGGATGGCCTTTTCAATGACCTATCCCACATTAATCGATTTCCCCATGACGACACAATACAATAGAATAACTCTCTCCACCGATATGGAACTATCGTGAGTGGTTGGGTGGAGAGAGTGTCGAATAAAATTCATCCAAACGTTCGCGTCGAGCGTTAAGTTGGAAGCCCTAAAAGATCTCAGCATGTAATTGCTGTGGGAGTCCCATGTGGCTTCGGGCTTTCCTAACTCTCTACTAATTTCCTCTAATTTAACTTGTGAGGCCGTGAGGGAGAGGGTACCATAATCGGTATATTTCGGGGGTGATAGGCCCAAGAATCTGTTTATGGCCTTAGCCGAAAAACTGACCTTAACACCCCTTACTTTGAGTTTGGTGGTACTAAAAACACACGCCTCTGCGTAAAATTCTCTTACCATTGTTAAATTAAAGGAATTCTTTACTTCGCACAATGTTTGCCAACCATGATTTTCAATGACCTCCCGTATGAAACCAAACTCCTCGATGCTCCCTTGATCAAATCCTTTATCAGGCAACATTTTCTTGTTTCTAAATTTATCAAACATATCCCGTGCCTTGTTGGAACTGAACCCATCAAAAGGCATCTAGGGCCTTGTAGTGGTTGTGGGTTTGGGTGTGGATTTGACCCTAGATGAGCCTGCTGGCTCGGCCTGTGATAAGGATCCCCTTCAGGATGATTTGCGTGGTGGTTCCAAAGGTGTAGGAGTCCGGTTGGCCCGTTTTCTCGTGGGCTGTCTTTCCACAGGTTTGGATTTTGTTGTGAAGACTCTCCCTAGGCCTTTTCTTTTCTTAGTGGGTATAGATGTCCTACCCCTAAGATCAGCTTCTAAGTCTATCTCCCCTGTTGGGAACTCAGTGTTGGCCTCTCCAACCGAATGTGTACCAATATCAAACTCAAAATGGTCTTCAACTGTCTGTGCAAAGTGAACAAATTCCACAGATCCTTCCTTAACAGTTGGTGGATTAGTCTCACACTCAATGTTTTCCTCAACAGTGTGAAGAGCAGAGTTGTTGATCACAGTGTGTTCAGGCGAGTGGGTGCAAGGCTGATCATACCAAGTCAAAAGATAGACTGTGGCCTCATTCAAATTAGTAGGTGATGGTGACGAAATGGCCATCAAATCATCTTCCTCCACAGAGGAATCAGAGGTTGTAAGGCCCTCCAATAAAGAATTAGGGCTAAAGTTAAGGTTTACCTCAGGACCCAATTTAGGGTTTGCACCTGCTGTGAAGGTTGTCGGAGTGGTGTCGGCGAGAGTAGGCAGAGGCGGTGAATGGATGTCGATGGTTGCTAGTGACGGAGATGGAGGCGAATCAACGGCGGTTAGCGACGGAGGTCGCCTAGGTGCTCGCCTAACCTTAGGCGAGGAGTCGGCGATGAGAGGAGTAACTATCGACGGGCGTGGTGATGATGGTGAAGCGGGTGGAGATTCCGATGGACTGTTGGTGGTGAGGTCCATCCATTGAGGCTCTTGCGTCTGTCGTGAAGCAGAGGTGGTGGCTCGCCGGCGGTTGCTCCTTCGTACCGGCGGTGGGGGTGGGTCTCGTATGACCAGTTTCTTCGATCGAGCCATGGGGTGATGCACACAGTGAGTGAGGGGAAATGTTGGGTGCGATGAAGGTTTGTATGGATTGATTGAGCCGGTGTTGATAGGCCGACGTGGTGATGATCGCTTTTTGAAAAAAAACTGAAGGGTCTCATCTTAATTAAGGCTTTTTGTTTCTTTCTCTTGAAAAGTGACGGTTGAGGGGAGAACCAGTGGGTAAGATGGTTGCATGGAGGTTACGAATTTTCATCATTATGGAGGGAGTGGGTGGTTCTTGCATGGGAGACAAAAATTGAAAAGAAAAAGCTGACAAATTTATCTGATTTTTCAGGCTGCTGCAGATGTCACTGTACTTTCTATGACTTTCTCTATTTTGTCTTTACCCACTTCTCATGTGATCTCTGGACCAGAATGCAATAGCAATCAGCAAAGCAATTAACTTTTCTCACAACCTTTTCAATATTATCCTGCACATTAACAAACTAATAACACATAACTGCTCTTACTAAAATAAAAATAAAAAGGAGACTTATTTACAAACACCTTTTGAACTACACAGAGTCCACAGAACACAATTATCTAAGGTGTAACCCACTTCTCAGAGCAATGTTCTGGGAATGCTACAGATTCATGAAATGCCTTAACACGTTGCCCATTTACCTTGAACACTGTGTTGTCCTCCGGATTAATGAGGTCAACAGCTCCATAAGGGTAGACTTTCTGAATGACAAAAGGACCGGACCACCTAGACTTGAGCTTTACCGGGAATAGTTTCAACCTAGAGTTAAATAAGAGGACTTTTTGACCTTCTTTTAACTCCCGATGTTGGATCCTATTATCATGCCATTTTTTTGTCTTTTCTTTATAAAGCTTGGCATTTTCATAAGACATTTGTCTTTGCTCTTCCATTTCACAGAGTTGAAACTTTCTTTTATTTCCGGCCTCATCCAAGTACATATTGAGCTCCTTGATAGCCCAATAAGCTTTGTGCTCAAGTTCTAGGGGCAAATGACATGCTTTTCCGTAGACAAGCTTATATGGAGACATACCGATTGGTGTTTTGAAAGCAGTTCGGTACGCCCACAAAGCGTCGTCTAATTTAAATGCCTAGTCTTTCCTATTGGGTTTTACCACTTTTTCCAAAATCCTTTTGATTTCCCTATTAGAAAGCTCTGCCAAACCATTAGTTTGTGGGTGATAGGCCGTGGCAATTCTGTGGTTAACATTGTATTTTTCAAGGACTACTTTTAATAAATTGTTCACAAAGTGAGTACCCTCGTCACTAATTAGTGCCCTAGGGGTACCGAATCGTGTGAAACTCTGTTTTTGGAGGAACTTAACCATAATTTTTGCGTCATTTGACACACATGCCATAGCCTCYACCCATTTRGARACGTAGTCAACAGCCACAAGAATATATTGGCAATTATTTGATGGAGGGAAAGGACCCATGAAGTCTATTCCCCAAACATCAAACAATTCAACTTCGAGTATCCCGTTTAATGGCATTTCATTTCTTTTGGAAATGGAGCCACTCTGTTGACACTCGTTGCACCTTTGTGCAAAGTTGTGGGAATCTTTAAAAACAGTTGGCCAATAAAAATCGGACTGTAAAACCTTGGCTGCAGTTCTTTGGCCTCCAAAGTGGCCTCCGTATGGTGCATGATGGCATTGTTGTAGGATGGCTGCCACTTCAGATTCGGGCACACATCTCCTCAAAATCTGATCTGTATTAAGCTTAAACAAAAATGGTTCATCCCACAGGTAAGATTTAGCATCATGAAAGAATTTTTTTAACATGTGGCCTGTGTAGTCCGAGGGTTTTATTCCACATGCCAAGAAATTAGCTATATCCGCAAACCAAGGTATTTTTGGTTGGTCAATCAAGAGGATTCTTTCATCGGGAAAAGTGTCATTAATGTCTATTCCTCCTCTCTCGGGCTCTTCCAACCTAGACAAATGGTCCGCAACCTGATTCTCTACCCCCTTTCTATCCAAAATCTCTAAGTCAAACTCTTGTAACAAAAGCACCCATCTTATCAGCCTAGGTTTTGCATCTTTCTTTGAGATTAGATACTTGATGGCTGAGTGATCGGTATGTACAATGACTTTTGTTCCCATCAAGTAGGACCTAAACCTCTCAAAAACGAAAACTATGGCCAATAATTCTTTCTCAGTTGTGTAATTAATTTGTGCCTCATTCAAAATCTTACTTGCGTAGTAGATTGAATGAAACACCTTGTCCTTCTTTTGTCTTAGAACAGCACCTACCGCCCAATCACTAGCGTCGGACATGATCTCAAAAGGTTTATTCCAATCCGGGGCAACTACCATAGGTGCGGTAACCAAAGCTTTTTTCAAAGTTTTGAATGCATTTCTGCATTCATCATTAAAATTGAATTTTTGGTCATGTTGGAGGAGTAAACAAAGAGGTTTTGAAATCTTTGAAAAATCTTTGATAAACCTTCTATAAAATCCGGCATGTCCCAAAAAGCTTCTGATTCCATTAACCGTGGTCGCTTCGGGTAGTTTTTCTATCACCTCAAGCTTTGCCTTATCTACCTCAACCCCTCTTTTTGAAATCAAATGTCCAAGAACAATTCCTTCTTTGACCATGAAATGACATTTTTCCCAGTTAAGGACCAAGTCTGTTTCCTCACACCTTTCCAAGCTCTTTTTCAAATTATTTCAACAATTATCAAATGATGAACCATACATAGAAAAATCATCCATAAATATTTCAATGGATTTTTCAAGCATATCAGAAAAGATGGACATCATGCATCTTTGAAAGGTGGCAGGAGCATTACAAAGTCCAAATGGCATTCTTCTGAAAGCAAAGGTGCCATAGGGACAAGTAAAGGTGGTTTTCTCTTGGTCTTCCGGAGAAATGGCTATTTGATTGTACCCTGGATAACCATCTAAGAAACAATAGAACTCCTTTCCGGCTAATCTGTCTAACATTTGGTCAATGAAAGGTAGCGGAAAATGGTCTTTTTGGGTAGCCTTGTTTAGTCTCCTATAGTCCATGCAGATTCTCCAACCGGAGACAACTCTAGTAGGGATAAGTTCATTTTTGTCATTCGTGATGACTGTGAACCCTCCCTTTTTAGGAACACATTGGACCGGACTAACCCAAGAACTACTGGCAATCGGGAAAATAATTCCAGCGTCTAACCATTTTAAAATCTCCTTTTTGACTACCTCTTTCATGACTGGGTTTAGCCTTCGTTGGGGTTCTATAGAAGTGAAATTTCTATCTTCTAGGATGATCTTGTGTTGACAAATAGAGGGACTAATCCCTTTTAAGTCAGCAATGGTCCATCCTAAGGCTTTCTTATGTAATTTCAACATTTCCACAAGTTTCTTTTCTTGATGCTGTTCTAGGGTAGATGAGATAATGACAGGCAATTTGCCTTCTTCTCCTAGAAAAGTATACTTTAGATGGGACGGGAGTTGTTTCAACTCCAAATCAGGTGGTGATTCAATGGATGGGGTGAAGTCTTTTTGCTCATTATTTTCTAGCAGCTCAAATGCTGCAACATCCACTGGGACAACGTCAGTTCCTAATTCCTCTATCTTCTCAATACTTTCCTCTTCTAATTCCTCATCATGTTCTTCTTCCAACTTAAAGTTCTTGTAAATTCCTTCTTCCAAACACATCTCCTCTATCTCAGATATTCTTGAACACTCTTCCAAGTAATCAGGGTACTTTAGAGAGTTGAAGACATTAAAAGTGACTTTCTGGTCTTGAAGTCTCATGGTCAATTCTCCTTTTTGGACGTCTATCAAAGTCCTTCCGGTGGCTAGAAATGGTCTTCCTAAGATAATAGGAATGTCCTTATCCGCCTCAAAATCTAGAATGATAAAGTCCGCCGGAAATATGAACTTGTCAACTTGAACCAAAACATCTTCAATTTTTCCCTTAGGATATGCTATGGACTTATTGGCCAGTTGGAGTGTGACGGTGGTAGGTCTAGCCTCTCCTATGCCTAAGGTGTTAAAGACAGATAAAGGCATGAGGTTAATACTAGCTCCTAAGTCACATAGGGCTTTCCCTATCTCCTTCCCTCCTATTGAACAAGGAATGGTAAAACTCCCTGGATCTTTCAGCTTAGGGGGTATTCTATTGGTCAAAAGTGCACTACATCCTTCGGTTAGGGCTACAGTCTCATATTCAGTCAACTTCTTCTTCTTGCTTAGGATGTCCTTCAGAAATTTGGCATAACTAGGCATTTGCTCAATTACCTCAACAAGTGGGATGTTGATGTGTAATTCTTTAAACACATCCAAGAATTTCTTAAATTACAGTTCCTCTTTCTGATTCCTCAACCTTTGGGGGTAAGGAACATAAGGAGGTACTGGTTTTATTACATTCTTACTTGGATGAGTTGAGCAAGAAGGGTCTTGAATGCCTTGGGTCTTTGTGGTGCCCTTCGGAGGTTCAGATGAACTTTGAACATCAAGCTTAGGGGTCTCTAAACCCTCAGTTTCTTTTGACTTTTCTAGAGCATCCTTAGGAAAGGTAATGGAAAGTTTGTTCTAGGGGGGACAGAAGTGGTGGTCTCTAAAGCCTGTTTCTCTAAGGGTAGGACCGGTCTTTCTTTGGCAGAACCAATGTTGTAGCATCAGCTTCTGTCACAATTGGTGCACTATCTTTGGGCACTTTTTCTTTCAACTCCTTCTCACTCCTAAGAGTCACTACTTTCACATGTTCCTTACCTAAGTCTCTAGGGACTTCTGTATTACTGGGCAAGGTTCCATGGGCTCGATTACTCTGGTTAAGCGCGAGTTGACTGACTTGAGTCTCTAAATTCCTGATGGCCGCATTTTGTTGATTTATCAAAGCTTGGTTTTGTGCTTGTGTTTGTGCAAAAAGTCCTTTAATCATTGCTTCCAAAGAAGATGATTCTGACTGTGGAGGAGGTTTGTTCTGGAAAGGTGGCTGTGAGTGTTGAAAACCTTGTTGGTGATTCTGAGAGTTAGAATTATTTCCATGATGTTGCGGTTGGAAATTAGAAGTTCCC